AATAATGTGACATCGAAATATCCCATATTGTTGAAATTACAACTCAAAAATTGGTTGCATTTAATTCATCATCTCATTTAATGATGAAAATATAATAACGTGACAACTCAATTTTCTAATTGTGTATAATCAATAAGGTGACTTAATGACTTGTCACATTATTTATCATAACAATTTCCTCAAATTCAGAATACGAGGCGTATCCTGCGAAGTTTAGGTGACAACGCAAAAAGTCACTTTCTTGCTCGGCTGTAGTATTACCTACTTCTCCTCTACCAGTGCAATAACGTGACTATAGCGATGGCATCGCATCAGCAGCTATTGGACCTAGAGATGTCACGATATTGTAGAGGTGTAGGGCTCGAAACTCGGCTCGAAATTTATCCGACGGTGGTTCTAACTCCAAAATCAACTTTTTCGAGTTATCACACTATTGTTCTTCTCAACGTGCGAAATCATCATCAGTTGTTTCCTCTGTGGAATGACCTTCGATAACCGAACACACGTCATTCAATAATTCCTTTTTCCCATGGAATTTCCTCAGGAATTTCTGGTACCCATGAATATATTAACACAGAACTACAATTGATGTTTGAGTGACAGATCCATGGATGTGTTCTTCCTCTACGAGATCCTATAGGTTTAACCTCGGGTTTAAACGAGGGTTTAATCTCTCACGTGCACCTCTGAATAAAAAAAATATTCATAAGAATTATCAAATTATTTTTATACTAAGTATTACATTTCCTTGGCTCATTCAACTAATCGAAACAAACAGCTCCCCAATAATTTCGATCAATAACCACTTCTGAAATTAGCGCTTGTTGAAATAAATTGTGTGATTAAATGGTAATAACGCCAATTCAGCCGGATGTTCAGCTGCTGTCTTGGCATGATAATGTTGATTTTTATTACAATTATTTCCATACTGGTGGCGATAATGTGACAATATTACTCATTCGGTAGTATCAGTGAAGTTATTAAGTAGTTAGCAACCTTACACTTAGCATATATTTTTTAAATTTATATTACACACTTATTCTATTTAGGTTCACTAGTGCCTAACGGTCAACTCTTCTTCGAATTTTCAGATTCTCACCTACTTCCCGTTGACCTCGCTGGTAATGCTAATTCAGTTAAAATTAGGCAGGTGGGGAACTTTCCCAGTTTTTCCACTCATGGATATGTTGAATTTGTAAATATCTGTACAGTTAATTAATTTGTACCCTTTCAGCTCAAGAAAGCAATTTGTTATGGGTAGTTTTCGAGGTAGTTATATACTCTGGAGCCTCCTAAAGTTGAACTTTAGCTCCTAGGAACTAAAAGTGTTACCCGAGGTGTTACCTATCGGCATACCTATGTTCGTGTCAGTAATAGCAACGTCTATTCAAGAGCTGATTTTGGAATTAAAAATGAACGATTTTATATCGTGTCGGTTGTAGAAAAACAGTATTTTTCGCCAATCTCTACAAAAACTCACATTTCACGTTCTGATTTCCGAACGAAAAACCGAATATATCTGTCTGGGCCATACTTTAAAATCGGTATATCTAGGAGTCGCCTCTAGCAGCGCATAAAAAGGAAATCGAATTTAAATGTTTTATTGATAATATTGAAATTCATCGTTAGGCCCCTCATCTTCATTCTAGAAAACACCAAGCACCAAGACCAAATTTCGTGAAAATAATGCTATTATTTGGATATATATTTGCATGCATACATGAAATATCAACTTTATTTGGACTAGATCCTAATGTTTGAGCGTTAGAATTCTGTATTAGTGTTTTGTACAGACCTTTTAGATATATCCTGTATAGTGAGATTAATGACACACAAATATACCTCTATACTCACCTTCTTGCATAATTGTAGTTCATTGTATTTTGGACAAGGCCATCAATCTTCATTCACTATGAATCTGATATATTGTTTAATTTTTGCAACAACGAATAATTTAATCACCCTACCTGCCTCATGTTCGTAGAAATGAATGATTGTTTACAATTGAAATATTTATTGTTCAGTTCTCATATTCAGGTCACGTTGTACTCTCACGAAGTATGTGGATGCAATGTTAAATAGCTGCTTTTATTGCCTGTAATAAAAATAAACACTCCTTTTATTAACATAACATATAGTTAGCAGATGTTTTTTACTACAGGAATCCGTTGATTAAAAAAAAGTATAAGTAATCTGGTATTTCATTGTTCATATTTTTACTTTATTTCATTGATAACGATTGATAACTTCGATCCAAATTTTAGAGATGGCCCATTTCTTGAAATTTCCTTATTCCTGTTTTTTCATTGTCACATGTCCACTCAGCCCTCAATCGGTGATGTGGGGTTTTGACAAATATAATTGGTGAAGTGGGTCATTATGACCCATTCTTTTTTGGCTTTAATATTCAGTACTACTTTGGGAAGCCTGCCATTACTTGAAACACATCATTTCCCGTCATTTCCTGTTGAAATGAGACATCATGCCATAAAAATCACAAAAAATTTATATATTATGAGAGAAATGAAAAAGTATGGATTTCTGCAGTTCATTAAAAAAAAATGCAAGAAAAATAGAAGCAATTTGCAAACAACAGATTGAATTGGTTCAAACACACATCAGAACATATCAGACAATAAACAGAAAAAATTAAATCATCTTCGCAGAAAAAACTCAGATCATTATTCCGGCGTCTCATGAAAACATGATTCTACAAGCATTCTTTACAAATGTGTCTGCTGTAGTCATGACAAATGGACTTTCTGCTTTTCCCACAAGCGTATGAGGTCTTCTTGTCCTTCTTGGATGGGCTTAAAGCACATCTCTTCATCTTGCGGAGTTTGGTGTCGACATTTGGTGGTTCTTCCAATGGCGTATCAGTTATTCTTGCTATCGTCAGTTTGAGCTGTCTTTGAAGGTTTGGTAGCACAAGGGAACGTGCGAGAGTTTTCATAAAATCAAACCGAGACTCATCAGATGTTGCAGAGAGTAAGTATATCAGAATTATAATTATTTTTTTTCCATAGAGATATTTTCTATTGGAAGTCTAGCCAATAATTCCGATAAAGGGATATCATCTTCAATATCTTCGGTACCAGAGTTCAGTGAATCGTTATTTTCCTCCTCAATTAGTGCTATATTTGTATCGCCAAATTGTTCTGAATCGGTTTCAGCACATTTATTTTTGGCAACATCGTAATCACGATCACAAAGTTCAGTAACATCTTCCTGATTTTACAGTCAGTATCTGCAGATTGTTCGCTTCTGAAATCATGCTCACTTAATTCATCTAAATCCTTCAGAATATCATCTACGTCACTGTCTGCTTCGTCTAACTATTTCTACGTTGTACTCTCAAAGTTTGTTTCGAAATACTTGACATTTCCTGAAGAGCCTGCCATAACCTGCAGAATTCAGTTGTCTCTGAAGGATAAAACTACAAGGTGCACATGGGTCGATTTAACCCATTTTATATGATAATTAGTGATGTGGGGTCAAAATGACCCTACACTACCTACTTGACAAATATCTGTTGGCACGAGGAACAATATCAAAGCACCGACACACTCTTCAATCTCAAAGGGTCAAAATGACCCAGGGTCACTAACTAAGAGTTAATACATATAATTTTTTTTTGCAAAATTTCTACTTCCAATAACGTGCATGTGTGTTCTGAAATTCTGAAAATGTAACAATATTAGAAGGTACCTATACCGTACAAAAAGGGTTAACAGTAACTTAGGAGCGAATAAAAATGAGTAGGCATGGAACATTTGTTGGGAAAAATCACAACTTTCTGAAATGTAATTCTAGAAACAAATCCTATTTGGTTTAAAATGTTTCATATGTGACAACATAAATTCAGCGAATTTTATTGATTTGCCGTTGGCAACAGTGTTTGTCCGTTATTTTATTCGAAAATCTAATCGTGACACCTGTATATTGCTAAATAAACATGCCACCCGTATTTGAGAAATTTTGGATCAATGTCATGAGCGAAATTAAAGCAGCAAGCTGGAGTATGTCAATCGACGGATATTTCTATAGGAAAAATAGTATCACGAGTTGTATTCTTATGAATATTGATTGAGACAATAAACGAACGACTCGCGAGATTTCGGCACACTGCATCCATCATTTTGACTTCCAACATGATAGACGTTTTAAATGTCATAAGGCCATGTGGGAATCACATTATAGGTATGTTTCTTCCTCAACAACTAATTGTTCCTCTGTAAATTGAATGTATTCACAGGTACTCTGTACTGAAGTGTCTGAAAATGGCTGTTTGAGCCGAAACTAGTCACAATACATTTTGTGCAATATAATTTTCCTGGTCGACCAATTTGGTGTTATCCTGTGTTTTCTTAAAAACAAAGGTCCACTTTGAGGAGGATGATGGATGGTTTCTATGACTTAAGTTTCTATAAGACCAGTATTATTAACTGATACAGCCATTGAGTAAAATATAACAATCACTCTGTATACCTTCCAGAAGATCTCCAAAGTTCTGGCCAACGATTACTTGTTGGATCGATTGGCCAATTGACCATACAGTATTCTCTCCGCGGCATTCATATTCATAACCCTGTATACTTGTAGCCTTAGTAGTGGGACACCCGGTATATTGCGATGTCAGTTAGTATCTATCTTGACGTCATGAAGAGTGATTTATAGATATTCGTTATTCGTGTCCCTTCTCAGACCATTTTCGTATGACCATAATAATTATATTTTGCAATTGTATTGTAGCCTCATTGGGACACCCGGTATATTGCGATGTCAGTTAGTATCTATCTTGACGTCGCAAAGAGTAATTTATAGATATTCCTCATTTGTGTCCCTTCTCACACCATTTTTGTATAACAATAATTATATTTTGCAACTGTATTTAGCTATATAGATAACATTGTTTGGTAGATTTCTCGGTCGGGAGATTTACAACTTGGCTTTCATGAGAAAACGGTTCTAGAACAAACGTAATTTTTTGTAAGAATATTATGAATTTAGTCTCGTTCGAGCTTTCCACTTGTTCGAATCTTCTGTTCTCGTACAATACCAAGTAAGTATTTTTTTTTTGTTTCAGAATTTCTTGAAGTACTTCAGGATATACATTTTTGATGGAGTGGTAAGTTTATCACTATCAGTGACTTGATTTTTCTTCTGTTATTCATTATGCTGATTCTAAAATATGCACATTATTTTGGCTAATCATCAAATGCACATTTCGATGGCTATTACACCAAGGCATCAAAATGTTCGAGAACTTTGCTTGAATGTATCAAAAGCTGCACAAGTTAATTTTCATATTTTGGCGAGCCCAACTCCCTCAAATCATGGTGGAGTTACAGCTTGTCGTGGTATATAGGCTTTTGAAGAATACTTACAAGATCATAACGAAATCATGATTGAAACTACACTAAGAACAAGGTAATCGAAGAGGTTAAATATTCATTCCTCCTAGAGTCTGGATATTCGGGATTTTCTCCCCTCGTCTCTATAAATCAGGGCATATAAGTATAATTCCAATATACCTATGGTTGGTAAACATTTCACCATCAGGAAAGAGAAAAATTTAATAGATAGTCACACCTCGTTTTAGATGTATGGTAAGTTATCAACTAACCGTAGATAACATTCTGAAGGATATATATATATATATATACGATTTCCTAATTTGAATCCCTTTATGAATTATGCACTTATCGATTTTAAATTAATGACCAGAAAATCTGATAATTCAGATTCATCGATGTAAAAGGGAGCCATATACAATATACAACGGTTATATTATGGCACAAAACTCCATCACAACTTTCTACCTGAATGCCTGAAAACACGAATAATTCATGTTCCACAATGCGTCAGTGTTTGAAGTTTTTTGATGAAAAATAGTCGAAAAAAAAATACTTGGCAGTCTGGTGTGAGTTCGACGCACCTATTTTCTAGATTAGTCCCGATTTCCCATTCAAACTGGCAAAATAATTTGTTCTCCAAATGACGTTGAAAGTATATTTTTAATGACACTTAACATGCAGAAAAGGTGTACTTTTACTGCCTAGGCAGAAAAAGTTTGTTGCTTTGCAAGTAATTTGAATCAAATTGGTAATCAAAATTGATGATGACTTTGGGTGAACAAAAAATGATAGATTATCTGGACTTTGCGTGAGATTGAAATAAATTTGGAGAATTTCACATGGCAGAAAATAAGATGTAATGCCTTGGCTGGTTTCCTAGCCTGGGATACGCCTTAGGCTATGAAATGCCAGTGGCGGCATTAAATCTTGTACTTTTTTGCCCAGTAAAACAAATAACTATTTCAGTAGTTATTTAATGTTTTTTACATGGCTTATTATTTTTGCCCTCGCTTCTCGTTTTCAACCACAGAACTCAAAGACCTGAGTTCTGTGTATTCAACCAGTAAACAGTCCTTATTATATACCGTTTTTCATAATAATTAATATACTATTACACTCATAAAATCTCATTGATGAGTCATTATTTTGTATAATATCCATAATTAGTTTGAAAAATTACTTTCGATGTACAACATACCTACACCATCGAACGAATATTGTATAACTGTGGTATAACATCGATTCAGTTCAACTCGTCCGAGTCGATCTTTACAGAATCACGAATTGAGAAAAAATGGACCGCGAATGTTTAACCTTGTTAAGATATCATTGGCCTCAATACATGCAACTTAAAAGGACTTCATATAGTACGTATCAATTGAAGATATACGTCATAATCTTGTCGGCTGCTCTTATACGAGGGTCCGAGGGAGATTTTTTTTTAAACTCAACAGTGATGGATACAAGATATAGGAGGCGGTTGTTACAAAGCAATTATAAATATAATTTATACAAAACGTTCAGAGTCACTTCCACAAAAATGTACGACGCGACTGAACTGCCATCCTAAGAAAACATTTTTTTCACGAACTTTTGCATAATTTACAGTTGCAACTGTGAATTAGAACAAGAGAACATTTTTTAACACATCTCCTAATCTACAGACAGGCATATTATATAGCTTTCATTCTTCGATAGCACGCGATTCGCTGAGACTGCGAGACTCTAATTTACAGTTGCAACTGTTAATTAGGAGATGTGTGAAAAAAAAGTTCTCTTGATCTAATATAGAGCTGCAACTGTAAATTAGGCGAAATTTTAAAAAAAGCATCTTCTGCCTAATTAATACTAATTTACAGTTTCAACTGTAAATTAGGCAAATGTTCGTGAAAAAAAAGTTTTTTTAAGATGGCAGTTCAGACGCGTCGTTCATAAAATGAACAGCAATGGTAAATGACGGAAGAAGTTTGACGCTATGACACCTACATACCGGTTTCAAGCTTTTCTGGGTCTCATCAGTGTAGGATAATCTCCAGCCAGCAGTTTGTGAACGTCAAAAAAATCCAGTGTAATTTCATGATCCCCATCCCAAAGGAAAAGGAGAAAAATATACTGATTTTTTTCAGTTGCTATGGTAACGTAAAGATACAAGATACAGACTTTCAATTGTTTGAAAATGTAAGGTGTGGAAATCAATATATTACTTCCGATATACAGGGTATGTCACGACGAGCGTATACACTATCTTTATATCGAAAATGAGTCGGGAGAAATTCATGAAAATGTGTATGTTTATATTTTAGAATACTCACTATTCACTTAAAATGTTTTCGACAATGCAGTGCTGCCGCTTCTACTACAAAATAGTAGCAACATTGATATTTCAAATAGAACACCCTGTATTTTATCACATTATCAGATTCTCCCTGGAGAGCTGATTTTATCGATGTATCACACTTAGGGTCTATCGAAAACGATTACAGAGATATAGGGTGTTCAAAATCGAGATTTTTCAACTTCAGGATTTTTTTTGTGTCGAAAGTATTCATTATCTGTCAGAAAGGCTCATATATCCCTATCTCAACTTTTGAATCACTATTTACTGATATTTAATCGGAACAGATACATGGTGGTTCTAGATTCAGAATTCGGATCACCCTGCAACAAATCACGAAAACATGGTGGTTCAAGATTCAGAATTCGCATCACCCTGTATCTGTTCCGATTAAATATCAGTAAATAGTAAATCAAAAGTTGAGAAAGGGACATGTGAGCCGTTTTGGCCGATAATGAATAGTTTCGACACAAACAAATCCTAAAGTTGAAAAATCTAGATTTTGAACACCCTATATCTCTGTAATCATTTCCGATAGACCCCAAGTGTAATATATCGATGAGATCAGATCTTCAAGAAGGATTCAAGAATGCAATAAAATACAGGGTGTTTCATTTCAAATAACAAAGCTGTTGCTATTTTTTTATAGAAGCGGCAACCCTGATTTACTGAGAATATTTTAAATGAAGAAAGCGTATTTTGAAATATAAGCATACATATTTTCATGGATTTGTTCCGACTGATTCTCGATATAGAGATAGTGTAAGCTCGTCGTGACATACCCTGTATATGTAGAACCAATTTCCAAATTCCTGAAAATGTTCATTTGAGTGATTAGCAAATCTGTTTTCGTGATTTGTTGCAGTTATCTGATGGAAAATATTGCATAATGTGTCCTCTTGAAATGATTTCAGGATTTCTGAAATGTTCATGCACCTTGCTGAAATTCGATTGTTATCTGAAAAACGTATTTATAGTGATTATTGATTAACATAGGTATATACCATTGAAAGTGGTGGCCTTCAAAACACGATACATTACTCACTAAATTTGTGAAAAATCAGCAATCCTATTGTTATTACAAGCAAAGAAATCGAAGTAGAGAACTCCGATATTGGAAATAGTGAATTTGAAATGTTGTTTCGATCATAACAAGTTGGAATGAATGTTTATTCACATTATTTTTGGAATTTTCAACATAGATGATACATTTTTTTCGATAAAGGTATTCTCTCACATATGATTTTCGAAACCGATATTTTTGTCTGGATATTAAACAAATAATGTTGCAAAGTTGAATAACGTCTGTGGAAATGATAGAATGAACTGAAGCTCATGGGCATCGTTGTTTTTGTTACTTTCTTGCGGTTCAAAGAATGAATTGAAAACTTCTTCCACACAATTTTAGTTGAAACACTTTGTTATTTGTTATAGTTAATGCAGACACTATTCCAATAGAGAAAAGACATCAATAATGAAGTACAAAATCAGAGTCCGCTTCAAAGACATTTCCACAAGTGCTCAATACAATGACCAACTGGTAGATGACGGCAGAAAAACACCCATTTTCCTGTGGAAAGCCACGCAAAACATTGAATTACATTTTCTCGAAATCTATGCAACGATTCGTTTGAGCGAAATACTGATTGCAACCGTTATATTATGCACTATATTGCAGTTATAGCTCCGAGGTTTGAAGCCTTTCCGTTGATTCTAAAAATTCGAGAGTTTTTGACATGTTGAATCAAAGCCCACCTGATGTGAACACTATCAATCTATCCATTTAATAACTGAATGGAACAATTCAATGATAAGCATTTAATCTTAATCTTCTCTTATATAATGAATGACCCTCGTAACTATTGGTAATGAATTATTGTTGTGAATTATCTGAAAGGTCGACTACTTGCACTTCGGTAAAATTAATTATTTTGGATATCCCACTTCGCAATTTTATACCACTTAATATTGATCTGTTTCTATGATCACACAATCCTTTTCATACAGGGCTATCATAATATACAAGGTGTTTTTGAAATGAGTACATATAATCAGCACATGGGATGTGATAGTCTAACGAATATTCTCATGATATTAGATTTTTCCTAACTCTTTCAATTAACAAGAAATTTCATCCCAAAAATTGAACGAAAAACGAGAGAAGAATCAAGTATGCCACTTCGAAACAATTTAAATGATTGAAATCGGCGTGATTGTGCTTTCCGAATGAAAATTTGAACATATGTGACGTCAGAATTTCTACAGTGTGGAACTTTGGGTGGAAGGAGGGGTCTAACCTCAAATTTCATTTTGATCCCTATTTTTTTTTATTGGTGCCACTCGATAGTATACGTCGAGTTAACTCAAGGC